GCAGTCCTTACACTAATTACAGTTTGATTATGAACAGTATTTAATTTTTTGGCTGCATTTGTAACATTCTCATCACTTAAAAATAAAAAGTATAAAACAAGTCTCTCATATTCATTTGTTACTTCCATTTTAATGAAAATAAACAACTGAAATGTTCCCAATTCTGAACAGTATTATATGAATGAGATCCAATTTAACACTTCAGTGTAAAAAGTATCACATTAGACTGGCATTTTTAACAACAAAACAAGATTTTTCTCAAGGTCATAAAATACGCATGAACTTATGGACTGACCTGATACACAAAGTATCAGATAAGGCACAACTCAAGTACCTCAAATCGCTGGAGATATATAAGGCAATTAGAAAAGGAGTCGGTATTAATTTCAAAGAAACCGATACGCTCTCCGCAGTATGGCGCACCATATTTGAATTAGATCCCAATGATTGAAACGCGCATCAAAGATATTTTAAATTACGGTGGATATTTAAGTCATGATCTAAGTGAAATCAATTATTTATTCTGATATGTTTTAAATATTTTACATATTTTCAACTTTAACGCAACGTATTCAAATTACATAGTTAAATGGAACTTTCAAAAACATTCTATTCTACTAGCCGTTAGTTCGATATCGTCAATACCTGAGGATGTCTATTACATATAGATGAAAACATTCGTAGAAAGAATTTTTCTGTTTAGTTATGAACTGGTGATGGTTTATTGGTGAGTGTTATACAGCTTTTAGACTGAAATAAGAATTATTGAGAAAAAATTAACTGTTACATTGATATTGAGTAAACTTCATGATATTTATTGTTACCTATGTTTAATTTTAAATAATTTTTGATACATTTCATTCTCAAAAAGTTAAGATCATACTCTGTTTAGTACAATAATTCTATTACATAATAACTATCATCAAAATGACTTTGGGAAGAACTTATTTCCATCATTGGCAGTATTCTAAAATATGAAATTTTGAATTCTATTATAATTTAAAACTTTACAATCATCATATAGAAAAATGCTATAGAGGAAACAAACTTTAAATTTGGATTTAGATTAAAAAGAGGTATACTTAATACAGATCCTTACAAAAATAAGAATAATAGAAATATAGAAAAACCCATAAATGATATTTACGATGTGCTATTTGNTGAGGATGTCTATTACATATAGATGAAAACATTTGTAGAAAAAATTTTTCTGGTTGGTTATGAACTGGTAATGGTTTATTTGGTGAGTGTTATATAACAAATTTGTTATTTAGTTAATCATTTGTAATTCCCATTTCATAAAATTCATCAAAATTTAAAATTAGAAATTCTTACATCATAAACATTGGGAACTGTAGCTGAAACTGCTAGAAAACGAATATTTTCATCTCTTGACTTATTTGAAAACTCTTGATTCTGAGAGAGACTATTTTGCAAAATTTTCATACGACTAATCACTGCTTCAAATGTTGCTCCCCTACTTTCATCATTTAATAAATGTATCTATTAAAAATAAAATTCAATACAGTAGAGCATCAACTATCCGAAAGTCAATCATCCGAAAGAATTCCAGTCGGCAAATTTAAATTTTCGCCAGTGCTGTGGCGCTGCAATCTTTGGCTATGTCTCAGGCTACTCAAATATTTTACATTTTTGATACTAAATTAACTTCTGAAGTATAATTTTTTATTGTTTTTATATTTTTCAATATATTTATTTTGTTCGTACAAAATAAAAAAATAATTTATAACGATACAATAGTCTTCGTTAGGCTTAACATCGACGAAAATTCAACACGAAGCGGCACGCAACGGAGAAAAATGTCAAGATGGGATAAATTAATATATTTTTTCGTACATAATCGGTTATCTGAAACATCGATCTTCCGAACAACCCCAGTTCCCAATTGATTCGGATAATCGACACTCTACTGTATTTACTAATCTAGTTATAAAATACAGGGTGATTATAATTAAAGTTCCACTTTGGAATGGCCATAAAATCAGAACTACTGGACAGAATGCTATCAAATTTGGTAATAGTGTACAGGATGTCATGGGATTTTATTTCCCGCAAAAAAAAAAGTTCAAAAACTTACCACCAATGAAAAAATGGCGCTGTATGCAATATTGTTAATTAAAAACTTTTCAATGATGTCTTCATGTCTTATTTCGTTTAATAATATTGCAAACAGCGCCATTTTTCCATTAGTGGTAAGTTTTTGAACTTTTTTGTGAGAAATAATACCCATGACGTCCTGTACACTATTACCAAGTTTGATAACATTCTGTCCAGCAGTTTTCATTTTATGGCCATTTCAAAGTGAAACTTTAATTATAATCACCCTGTATTTGTTTTAATTGATTGTAAATATATTTAATTCAATTCTTAAGAATTTTATATAAATAACTTTAAATTATTTTTGTAATTTAAAGATCTTATGAAATAAAAACTTTACCTTCAAAATAAAAATATAATTAAAGAGTACATATACATATATAATTTCATACATATCTGTGAGTTAGCCAGGGGTACAATTCTTATAATTAATGTACCACTTAATCGGCACAGATTAAGTGAAATCTGTTCTCAGAGTTTTGGATCGAGAGATCCGATCTTTAATCATAGGATGGCCTTAGGGTGTTTTAAAAGGATCCAAACCTCATTATTTGAATCTACGTCAGGATGATGACACCAGTTAATCAGATTTATTGTATGCGAATTAACACGCGTATCGATTCATGAAGGAGATGGTGAAATATGTTTGATTCAGATGACGTACGAAATATTTCTTTAACAATAACAACAAAATTTTAATGAAACAAAAATAAATAAAATTATACAAATTACTATATAACTGGATTGCTGTATATTAGATCTCTATGTAATACGTCTCTGTAATCCAACAAATGATAGACAGACTCACAGCAAATTTTCAGTTAGGAACTACAATTTTATTCTCAAAATTGACAAATGCATTTCAGACTGGCGCAGTACATCCCAACCCATCCTCAGTGCTAATTTTTAAAAATAAGAAAAACAAAAATAGTCAGTTCATGACAACAAATATACCAACAGAAAAAATTTTTTCTTACACACTTACTCTTAAAGATAAAAAAATTGTGCATGGGACACCAACATGACTATAACACCAACACATGTTGTACATCAATACATCGTAGAGGTATCGTACAAGCTCAAAGAGCACTTGAAGTGTTTAATACTACCAGATAACCTCATCACTGAAAAGAAAACTTTTTTATGACTATTTTGTAGAATTAATAATGGTGTATAAAAACAACATACATTACTTACTGTTAAAATATGTAGCGATATAAACAGTTTACGAACAATAATTTACAAAAAACCAAGTAAACCTTAGCACCTTTCTTTTAATCAATCGCAATAATTTAATTCTATGTAACGCCCTCTATCAGTCTGTACCAACGAGAATCAATTAACATACCATCTGAACTATTTATTAAATTATTTTTTTGGTTCTTCTTTATTTCTAAATGTTCTTTAAATTTTCATTTATACATGTCTTTTTCATAATGTAAAATTTTAATATAACTGTGATTGATTTTACAATTACTATCTTTTGTATGCTCATACCATGGGGAATTATTATATTTTAAACGAATAGCTGCTTCATGTTCTTTTATCCTAACATCCAATACACAGCCAGTTTCTCCTATATACATATATGGGTTCTGACAATTACATTCCAATTTACATACCACACTTACTTTTTTTTAGAGAATCTATATTAATATGATTACTTCTGTTAACATAACAAAAGTATATAAATTAATGAGTCTTGATATAAAAATTATGTATCCCGATATAAAAATTATGTATCCCAATATAAACTGGGAGTTAATAAAAGGTACTGTATTTCAAAAAATTGGTTATTTAATTTTAATTATATCCGACTCACCAAATAACCCATATCCAGTTCATAAGCCAGCAGAAAAATTCTTTCTACAAACGTTTTCGTCTATATGTAATAGACATCCTCAGGTATTGACGATATCGAACTAACGGCTAGTCAAATAGAACGTTTTTGAAAGTTCCGTTTAACGACATAATTTGAATATGATGCATTAAAATTAAAATATGTAAAATATTTAAAACATATCCGAATAAATAATCAATTGATTTCACGTAGATCATGACTAAATATCCTCCGTAATTTAAAATATCTTCAATGCGCGTTTTAATCATTGGGATTCAATTCAAACATGGCATTCCATGCTACGGAAAGCGTATCGGTTTCTTTGAAATTAATACCGACCCCTTTTTTAATTGCCTTATATATCTCCAGCGATTCGAGGTACTTGAGTTGTGCCTTATCCGATACTTTGTGTAGCAATTTAGCATTTTGTAGATCAACATGAACATCNATTACCTATGAAGTTCTCAGATTCAGCTCCCCCAGGGAAATAGACATTTAAAATTATTATTCTTTTGTTACCAAGCATTAGTTCCATTACTACTATGTGTTGACAACTGAAATCAGTATGAATCATTATAGAGTAATTTTTGTTAGGTATGAGGGAAATAGCCCATGGATACGAATCCGTACCCCTTAATATTGGGACATTCGTCGGTAAACAAGCTGGTGAGTTTTTAACACAGTATGGCTCTTGAATTAACACGATGTCATAATTGTTTAAATTTTTACTTATAATTGAAGTGGCAGAAATGCTTCTGCCAATATTTATTTGCACAATATGTATACTATTATTGTTAATCAGAGCCATAATCGGTCCTAGATTCTATATACGATTTGATGCGTTGATGCAGAGGGCATATGCTATCTCTAGCGTTATGCATGACGTTATGTAATCCTTCGTGTTCACAGTTATAGCATACTGGTTCTTTTTCGTAATTTGGGCAGTCATTAAACGAATGGTCACCCGTACAATGGCTACAAATATATTGTGATTGTGGGCAATCTTTTGCCGAGTGGTTATAGCCACAACATTTATAGCATTGCAGGATTGGGCAGAAGTCCGCAATCCTGCAACGTGACCATTCGATGTTTATTTTGCCCATTTCCATTAATATCCTTCTCATATGTGGTGAAACTTGGAACACCCAATTTTTATATATTGCATTACGTTTACCTAATGTAAATTTGGCTCTGAATTGATCTAAAAATTCATTCTCTTGAAAATTCTCATAAAAACAAGGATTCTGCTGATAGATCAGTTTGGGCAGATCATTTTTATTTATATCTGATTGCACTGAAAATACTGTTATGTGAGGCCATCTCTTCTTTGGACGTCGAAAAACAAGCTCCGGTATTTGTTCTTCAATGGCTTTTTCTAAGGTAGCAGCATCTCTTTTCGATCCTACTTCAATTGCTATACCACCACGTATTTTCCTCATTTTCTCGATTCCAATGTGCATCTCCGATGGTCTCAATTTGATTTGCATTATTTTCCGTACTGTATCACTATTATTGTTTTCTCTTTCTTTATTGTATACAAGAATCACTTCTTGTTGTTTTACTTGTTTTAATTTAGGGCTACTATTTTTAACAATACTGCTGTATAAAGGTAAAGCAGTGGATTGCTGAGTTGCTCTATCCTCGATTCTGTTGAGTTTCTCAAGAACTGTATTTTGTATGTCTTTGTTAAATTCCATGTGTACAATGTTAGTGATGTTGTTTTCAATATCTTGTAATTTTTCAATAACAGCTTTTTGGTTATTAATTATGTTTGCCGCTGTATCTAGGCTGAACATGTTGTTATCTATTTTTTCTAGTTTTTCTAATATATATCTTTGTGAATCTAGCACTTTTTGTGGTTCTGTAAGTTTTTCTAGATCTTTTTTATTAGCCATTAAATTCAATTTCTGTTCTAGAACTTCAGGAAGTTCTGTGCTGGATATGGCGTCTTCTGCTAAGCCAATTACTTTTTGAAATTGATCTAAAATGAACTGCATATGTTTAGGGGTTTCGAGTCTACCTTTCGGGTTAATGAGTGCGTAATCTTTTATTTCTTTGAGTATGTTATCCGCACTGCTTCGAAAAATATCTAAGGTTGTAGATCCCATTGTGTAATAATTAAAATATTTCACAAATATAACACAAATACCAATATTATATATATAAATTTCAATAGTAATACCTCAAAATACTAAAAATAGATAAATATATAAATAATAAATCTATGTATTTATACATATAATAATAATATTAACTAATAATCTGTGCCTTAGTAAGTGAGATGCAGTAGAAGTTGAAATTCGAACTTAAAACTAAATTGGCCATAATTTAAAAACTATTATAGTTATCTTAACCAAATTTTCACAAAAGTTCACAAATAATGTTCCAAAAGAACCACCCAAAGGAAATTCTGATCAAAGAAGCCGGATGCGAGAAAGTGACGTTCCATTACGAACCGGAAGTAGGTCGATAATTCACAGAAAAATGTTCCGATGACCCCGTAATTTTATATCTGGGTATAAGTTAATAGTCCGCACGATATTCCGTCAAAAGTTCCGGTATACCGAAAGTATAAAGACCGATTATCCGAAAAAAGTGTAAATCGTTTAAAAATTTAAAATGTTCCAAACTTAAAAGATCCTACTTAAAATGTTTTCAGTCCCCTAGCATTCCGACGCAATATTCCATATAAATCCACATGCTAATATCAATATTTCCGCAAAAATCGCACCACAATCACAGAGCAAATTCAAGCACAACTCTACCAGAACACGACTCTCGAATCTTTTTTTCTCTGTAAATCTAGACAAAGCGTCCGACGTGTTATCTGGGATACTAGAAATAAATATAAACAATCCGCTGTTGGATTACATCGTGTTTCAAAAAGCTAAATAAGTTCATTATCTCGCTGGCCATCTAATGCTACACTCAGTTTATATCTAGAATTCGAACGCTACTGCTCTTGTATTTTTATTTCTGGAATATGGCTCGCAGAGGTTGCGTAATTTCTCCCGACAGCTCCTGTTATGTTTGTGGTGAATACGCAGTGAAAAGTCAACAAAGAAACATAAGTGAGTTTGTGAAGAAAGTTTAATTTGCGTATTTCAAACTGAAACTTGGAATCAAAACAAAGCAGGTTTCTGGAAACAATGGGAGAAAAGAAAAAAGAAGCTTGGGACTCTTTCAAGAATGTAGTCCATAAGTTTTTGGGGAATACTAAGGACCTGACTACAAAACCATTGTACAACGCATGCTGGCAGCAGCGTATGAAAGCTCGAAAATGCGAGATGAGCTTAAAAGTTCATTTCTTACATTTCCATATTGACTATTTTCCCGAAAACTTGGAAGCCTACAAAGAAAAACATGGTGAAAGATTTCGCCAGGATGTCCGTGATGTCGAGAGATGTGAAAAGGAAAATGGAATGTCAATATGTTAGCTGACTACTGTTAGAGGCTCAATCCAGTAACCAGAAAAAGAAATTGGAAACGAGTTTGAAGAAGAATCAAAAAGAAGTAGAAAAGGTTTCGTAAAAAAAAAGAGTAGACCTAAAATTGTGTATAAACATCAAAAACAATTTGTTGATTAGTTGTAAAAAAATATTTATAACAAGGAATTAAATCTAAATATATAAAATTGCTTGTCCTGACTGACTCACTCATTCATTCACTGATTCATCATCGCCCAGAGCAAACCGCTTAACCTAAAGAGGTGAAATTTGGTACACAGTTAGGGTACGTCATGGAAACGCACACTAAGAAAGGATTTTTCGAAATTCCAACGCGGGGGGGTGAGGGNCATGGTGAAAGATTTCGCCAGGATGTCCGTGATGTCGAGAGATGTGAAAAGGAAAATGGAATGTCAATATGTTAGCTGACTACTGTTAGAGGCTCAATCCAGTAACCAGAAAAAGAAATTGGAAACGAGTTTGAAGAAGAATCAAAAAGAAGTAGAAAAGGTTTCGTAAAAAAAAAGAGTAGACCTAAAATTGTGTATAAACATCAAAAACAATTTGTTGATTAGTTGTAAAAAAATATTTATAACAAGGAATTAAATATATTATAAAAGTTTTTATAAAAAATTTGTTTTTATTTTGCAAAAAAACCATTACGTGATAAAATGTAACGTAAGTTATTTTTAGAATATGCGATATTTAAAACATAGGCTATAATTCAGCAAAAATATTCCATGTAGCTAAAAAAATTTTTTTTACAGACTTGTGTTATTTTTTTGATTGCTTCATCTCATGCATTTAAATTTTAAATCAATCAAGTTTTGGATTGCCGCGCGAACCCCTTCACGCAATTCCGCGTACCCCCAGGGTTACGCGTACCAATAATTGGAAACCACTGGTCTATTTCAATCATTAGTAGCAAGTAGTCTAAAAAAAAAACTAAATCAGTCTATAGCACTAGCATCAGTCTATAAAAGCACAAGATGCACGTTAGTTCAAATGATTTCTTAAATTTCAACCTACTAACATTGTTTCTTATAAACTTTGATAATTAAAATCGACAATCGTAATATCTGCGATGACGACCTTCTTCGAAATTAACGAAATATGTGATATCAACCTACTTCAACTAAAAATAAAAATAAAAAAATATTCAAAAAAAATATTTCATGCCTACACCTAATATCCACAGACAAGTTTCTCATTTAATTAACAGTTTATTTCCTCATCCAAAGCACACGACTATATCTTTACAGAACTATTTCATATCAAAAACTGATCACAATTAGCCCGAACGAATATAAATTCAACTCTATAAAATAAACTCACAACGATTATTTTCACATATATTTGCCATTTGTAAAAAGTTCCCGAAAAACAACTACGGTCACAGAGGCTCTCTATATTTATCAATTTTCTATTTACGAATTTTTGTTAGCATGTAAGAGGCCACAATAAATTCTTATTGCGACACCTTCATCTGATAGAAATTTTCTCAGCTGGATTCCTCTTCAGTATCTGTCGAAGCTTTCGTTTGTTTCGAATAGCCTTACTGCCGCTACGAAGTTTCGTAGACGGCAAACGCTTTACCCGCGAAGCATAGCGTTCAGCTTTCGATCGATAACAGGGTCGATTTTACTGTGAACGCGAATGTAAATTGAATAACATCGAAGATTAAAAGTTCGCCGCGTGAAATTACGTCGTTTCCTCTGTAAGCGGAAATAAAACACCAACGTTTCAATGGGTCGACCGTATTATACAAGTAAAGACGTGTTCACTCAATGGGCGGTTAGTATTACAAGTAGTAGTCCATCGCGAAATATTTTGACTGATATCACGAAGAACTTATATTATAGATGAAGTCGTTAAAGCCATATTTGTGTGTATTCCGAGAAACATTTCCAAGTTGGTTATTCTGATCGTTAGCACGTCGACTTATAATGATTGATTTCTTGCGAATATAAAGGAAGAATAAAATATTTTTGCGATGACTCGANGCAATATTCCATATAAATCCACATGCTAATATCAATATTTCCGCAAAAATCGCACCACAATCACAGAGCAAATTCAAGCACAACTCTACCAGAACACCCACAAGCGAGAACCCGGCATTGTGATGATGTCACAATAAATAATTGTTCTTTATAATTATACTTAATCACACTAATTCTTAATTTTAACATAAGACTTGTGAATTGAAAAGTTTGCCATTTGTAACAAAAGGAAATATTTGTGCTGAAATTTATATTAATGAATGTTTAAAAAAAGCTGTCTTTCTTTTTAAGAAATCATAGTTGCCATACTTTGTTTTGGCCAGATTTGGAAGCAGTACACTATGCAAAATCTACAGTAAGTCAGACAGAATGGCACGGAGTTGATTTTTGTTTCGGGGTTCAAACAAACTGCAAAAGACTTTAAAGTTTTTTCTCTGAAGTGGAAAAGAGAAGTCATAACAATCAAAGGAAATACTATCAAAAATCTTAAGAAGAGTTTTCGAAAGGAATGGAGCAAAACTTAAATGCCATAATTATTTAATTATTAAATGTATTTTATAAAACAAACTTTTAAATAAAGTAATATCTTTCTGATTACAAATAAAAAAGTTATAATCACTTGAATTTTACAGATTTCTATCGTTAGTCCTTAAATTATATTTTGTAACTTCTAGATTGTAATATATTGCATTTTGGAATTACAGTTAGAAACTTGAAACTGTAGAGAAATGATTACTCCACAGGCATGGTATATATGGTTGAGTGGGTTATGCAAAGATGTTTATTTTTGCTCTAGCAATCTTCTTTGGTGTATAAGCCATTGCAGATTACATGTACAAAAATATGGTACATTTATCATAACTTGCATTGATGTAGACTTAATATTTTTAAAGTTGGAAGTTTAAAGGAAGCTAAAGTTTACTGTAATGTTTTATTTTTAAATAAAATTAACAAAATTTCATAATTTAAATTTGAAAATCTTAATCAATGTATAGGTTGTTTTGTTTTATACTGTGATATATATAATAAGTTTTACAAGTGAAATTTATAATGCTAGTATAATTTATATAAAATTATTTTGAATTTTCAGTATTAAAAGAAAACTAAATTACGATCCTGACGCCAGGAAAGAAAACTTAGAGAAAGTTTACAAACTTTTCATGGAACTTTGTAAACCCTCGGCAAAGGATTTAGCAACATTATTCAAATTGAAGGGAATTTCGTTAGACGAGTTTGAAAAATCAGGTTCAAATGTAAAGAAATTAAAAAGAGATTTAAAAGAAATGCTTTCTAACTCATTGTACAATGGAAATGAAAATGTCATAAGAAGACTGGAAGAAAGATGCGATGCCGATTTAATAGAATTTGCTAGAAAAAGAAAAGAAGTATTGTTTGAGTTAAAAAAGTGGGAAACGGAGATTAACACCATGTCCGAGATCTGTCCCGTTTTTGTCGAAAATGACGTGGACTTAGAAGGTCCACCACAGAATTTTATATATATAACAGATTATAAGGCCGGAGATGGAATCGAGATTCCTGACGATCCACTTGTCGGATGTGAATGTCACAATTGTTACGAAAATCAGAAAAATTGTTGTTCTATGCAATCGGGAGGTAAATTTGCTTATACTAAGTATGGTTATCTAAAAGTGCCAAAAGGAACGCCAATCTATGAATGCAATAAAAGGTGTAAATGTGGAGATGACTGTTTGAATCGTGTAGTGCAGAAAGGTAGAAAGGTAACAAATTAAATTTTATTTTAATTGTAAATATTAGTTGATACATTCTAGTTAATATTGAAAATTTAAAATAGAATGGCATAAACTTATAAATATGAAAATTATGTAATTTCAAAAATTTTCTTTATTTAATTTAATGTACGATACTTTACGGTTTCAGATAAAATTAGCAATTTTTCGCACACACGATGGTCGTGGATGGGGAGTGAAGTCACTGGAGAAAATCAAAAAAGGAACATTTATTATGGAATATGTTGGTGAGGTAGGTTAATGTTTGAACAGGAGAGATTCAAGATTTAACTATTATTTTTTTTTTTTTTATGTTTACTTGACATGTTTAGAAATTAAATTCCAATTGGCTAAAGAGGAACAGAAACTTCTTTGAACTTTTTTATTGTCCCAAGAAACTACATAGTTACAGCTATTTTTCAACATATTTACCTTTGAGGTTTAGACATTTGATGTAGCAGATAAGCAAAAGGTTATCTGTTGCTATGGCAAATGATTAGCAGAAAATTTTGAAGAGAACTTATTGACACAACCTTACATGGATGTCTGTTCTGTAGCTCTTTATTGAATTATCCTCCCAAAAACTTTTTCAAATATGAAAATGGGTGAAAATCAGTACTGTACAGCAAGTATTCAAAGATTTTTCACTTGAAGTTTTTCATCAGTTCTTATGTGCTGTGAGCAGAAAATGGCTGTGCATTATAGTAAAGCAAAATCACTACAGTGCTCAGTAGACCATGTCTTCTGTTTTGAATATCTTCTTGTAATTTCAGGCATTTATTTTATTATTCTACAGCAACAAAGAGCTGCAGACAACTATGTAAGGTGAATCTATAAGTTGGCAGAAGACTAGTAAAAGTTTGCAAAAGCTTATCTGTCGCTGTGACAGATGTCTGCAAAATCTTAACTGGTCATTTAAGGTAGGTCAAGTCAACCTATTGATAATTTTTTTCCAGTCTTTCTATTCTCTAATCCTGTTAGATTCCTGTATAACTGTATTTGGGAGTATTTCTTAATGGTTTTAGTCCAGCTTATCCTGGAAAATCTCTCAATCTTTTCATTTCTAGAACATCTCCCAGTCATGAAAATTCTGGAAAAATCAGTGAATTGAAATTCCTTCAGAAAATCAAAATTATAACAGACATTCATGCAGAAAGGAAATGATTTTAAGGAAAATGAAAAGTAATCAGGGAGTTTTTACTTGCTAGTCCCTTGGCAAAATTAAAACTTACTCATAAATTTTTTGAAAGCATTTGAAAGTTTGCGCATTGTACAAGAATATTCCAGCATATTGTACTACACTGAACTCCTTTGTAATACAATCCATTGAAATTATTGTTTTCATTGTTTCTCTTGATCCAGTTGAAATGTCAATGCATATCAACTTGACAAACTTGACTTTTCATTGAGCTAGATAGAGTAAATTGCAAAATCTGTAAAAGTGTATTTGTATATGCCATGAGAGTTCATATGTTGACTCTGGATTTTCTGTAAATAAAGGTATGCTTATAAATCATTAGTAGCATTACAACCTGCATATAAATACAGTGAAACCTGTTTAACTCTAAGTAATGTTTACTCAATCATTTTATTTCCCCCGATTATCCAGCATAGGGATTTACATGTGAAGTTGAACTGCTTAACTTGATTGGGGTTTTGATACAGAATTTTTATAAACTCTCTGAAATTTTAATTTTCTGTTAAATAAATTATTAACATTTGTCTATTGAACAAACTAATCTGAAACTTTCTATGAATTGCGGGAACTACATATGACTAAAAATAAACGTGTCACATGACTTCCGAACACTTCGTCAGCGTACACTTCCGAACACGGTGAGAGCGTACACTTCCGAACAGCATGTGCGATCTAGATTCTGTAACTGCCATTCGAACCTACTTGTTTTTACTTCATTGTTGATGGATTTCTACAACTAGCTGACAATAAATAAATGGATTTTTAATAAATTAATTTTAGAATTGGAATATAATTGTTTTTATATAGAAATTTTAACGTCTGCAGCAAAATTTTAGAAATATAACAATTGTAAAGAATGTTTTTTGTAATAAAAAATAAAACAACAGATTGAATCTAAGTGCAAAGTATTGCAATTTAAAAAAAAATTCCTTACTAAACACTTGGGAATAAACAATTATCTATGAAAGCATTTCTCAGTAGCTTATTTAACCATTCAGTTAATGTTTGAGTTTCTGGACAACACTTAAAGGGTTACATTGATGTAATGGTTCTATGTAAAAAGACCCATGGAAATATTGTATGGCTAGTTTATTAAGGGTCACCAATAAACCAATGCATGAAATTTTGATTTTTAGCCAAACATTCATAACTCAAAACTTTTTACCTGAAAGTCCGAATTTTTTCCCCCCAATGGATCTGAGTTAACCAGGTTCCACTGAACATGTTATGATGCTATTCAGAATTACAGTAGAATTGCAGATCTGGAAATCACTAGCTCCACATCACCTCTCTATCAGAATGCATTTCATGAATGAAAGCTAGTCCTTGAAGAAGAAAAGAGACAAAAGCAATTTGATGTTCAGCAAAATTGGGAGAAAATCAAATTGCAAATGAAATTTCTGAGCTGCAGAAGATGAAGAAATTAACCCATCATACAGCAGTGGAACTCGGAAAACTTAAAAACTAAACTAGTTGACTAGAGTCCAGTGCTTGTTGAGCACTTCAGTGAATATTAGTTAAAAAGAATAATTCATAGCTTATAGAAATGACGTACAGTGTATTTTTGATAATATGCTGTTGTACTTCTGTTGCTATGGTAAGTTGTACATTGCAGATTGCACTGTGGTGATTCTGTGCTTTTCTGTTTTTAGAGTGCTAAAATGACTTGTGAGAAGTGTTCCAAGATAATTAAATCCATCAACTTGTTCTATTTTTTTACTTTCAAGATGGATATTTAATAATTCCTTCTCTCAGTTGTCATTACTTTGGATTTGTTACTTTCATTAGGTCTGTTGTTTGGTTTAATTTTACAAATAAGTTTTATAAATTTTCTTAAATACTATGTCATCAGCATAATTCAAGTAATTGAAGTTGTGCATGTTTATTTTGATTTCTTTCTCCCTTTCAAAGGCCTGGTCACAATTATATCTATAAGCATGTTGAAATAAAGAGAAAGAGGACAGATAGCCTTGTGCCAATCCCTTATTTATATTAATATTTTCAGTTATTATTAGATTGTTATATTTTATTATGATTGCTGTTGATTCATAATATTATTTGAGAAAGTCAATAATTTCAAATGGGAGGTTTTTTCCATCATATAAATCAAGTGTTCTCTTGCTAACAGAGTCTGGAGAGTTCTTAAAATCTGTGAAGCTACAGTATACTCTTACTGTATTTTTGTGAGGCTCTGGACCAGTCTGAACCTTCACTGAAATTTGCATTAAAAGAATTTTTTTAAAGGAAAAAAAAATGAAGCAGCTAGAAATAATTTTTTTGTATGAAAATGCAATGCAAACTTTTAAACAATAGAAGAATGTAAGTCCATCTTTGGTTGGGGATCGAATTAAACTTCAATTTTGACCTCTTCTGTGATCTAAGTTGAGATCTCATTACACATAGTAATGAGTAGTCTACTACTTAGAAAATGAGAACGAGGAAAAGCCATCCATCAGACTGGGCAATTGAGGATGGAAATGAATAAAACCCTGGGAATTCAAGGACACGGTGGCTTCTCCTGAAAGTTCCAAGAGTCGGACCAAATGTGTGTGTGTCTCATGCCCATCTTCGTCTCCGTCTCCCAACCTCGGATTGACATCTTCCCATCACTGGAAGTCAACCACATTGTCCCAGAGTCATTAAGATGTCAAGGGGAAATGTCATTCACAAACCAAGGACACTCCTTCATTTGGGACTATCTTGGAAAGGAGAGGAAGACCCAGAGGTTGCTGCTGATTTAGAACTTCCAAAACCTGGAAATCTTGGAAGCTTTTACGGTTTACGGTTTTAAGCTTTTACGTCAAATAAACGGTTTCTGGTAACAGTCTGTCTCAGTGCTGACACGAACACTTCATGACCCATCAACACTCTTGACATTTCCACCCCCATCTGCAACCTTACATTTTTAGTAGTGTTCAGCTATTTTGTATTGTGAAGATAGGATTGACTTGAGTATTTTTTTTAGTGAAATTTCCTTGTTCCTTACCTATTATTTGAATCTGTTTTGAAGAACTCTTGGAGATATTTTCTATCCATGGCTGAGAAGAGTTATAGGTCTGTAATTATTGCAATTTTCTTATATACCTTTTTGCATATGGGTATAATTATTCCTGTTTTTATTATTAAAATTTTGATGTCAGGTGCAGTACAGTCTTCTGGTACTGCACCCGACATGAGAATTTTGTTGATTTCTTCTCCCTTGCCCAAATTTATTTGATCAATTCCTGGAGTTTTTTCATTTTTGAGATGATAGTTGTTCTTCATTTGAGAGTATTTCTAAATATTGATCTTTTGTTCTAGTGCTTGCTATTTTCAGCTGTGGATGACACCTTCTCCATGCAATACATTAGAGAAATAAACCGTATAAAAATATTTTTGATTTCTTTTGGGTTTCCAGTTTCTATATCTGACCTTGATGGTTTAAAAGTGAGGGTTGTAGAGAAAAGGTTTTTATAATATCTTTAATTGTACTGTATTTGTTATTTGGAGTTATTTTTGTAAGCAAATTCACACTGTTCAGTTTATTTTAACTGTTTTTCTTTTGTTTGTCTTCATAGATGATCTAAGTTTTTTCATGATTCACTTGATTTTTGGCAGAATAACTGATTTGGAGAATATTTTTCAGTTTTCTATTTTATGTAGAATTTCTGGGATAATCCAGTCATTGTTTGGTTTTGCCCTTGATCCAGGTATTTTGTGTGCCATTTCCAAGATGTTTGAATTGGTTTTTAACTTCATTAATTGCTTTTTCTCAAATAAAGTTTTCTTTGAGCTTGTTTTTTGTTCACACACTCGGATATTTGTGATTGATATCTAGATTGACATTTTTAAGGGTTTTGACATTCATTATTAGGATAAAACAGATGGAGTGCATTTTGTCGAGTCAACTGTGGACTCAGCTGTCATCTTGATGTTTGATTTCCTTGCAACAAACAAGCGGTAGAGGTTGTCACGTCAACAGGTTGTTCCATGGTGACGTGTGTTTGGACACAAAACTGGCATAATTTCAAATACTAGCCTCTGGCTTTACCACACACATTGCTAGATGTCATCAAATCAATGGTTACCTTAGTACATTGTTACTGTGCGTGAATGGTTACTTATTTTTGCCAACTGTACTGAATCTGTTCCATCTATTTCTTTTGGTATTGTCTACCAGTTTTTTTTTATTAAGATATAGTCTGCGCAGTTTTTAGCATGGCTGTCAGGAGAGGGCCATGTATATTTGCGTCAATCCGTATGATAAGAGAATTTGCTATAACTCGATTGTTTCTTGTACAAAAATTCAGGTCTTCTCTTTTTTTCATTTGAGCTACCTGTTCCAAATTTTTCTATAACATCCTTCATCTCTGCTCATAATTTTCCAATCTTGATGTTAAAATCACCTATTTTAAACAGGATGTCTTTATGGTGTTTGTGATCTAATTCCTGTTGTAGTTTTGAATAGAATTCTCAATTTCTGTATCATTATAATTTGTATCACGTTTAGGTGCAGGATACAAATTACCTCCCCAATTCGACGATTTTTTTCCCCCTCCTTCCCATCTTTTAACTTCTTTGACATTATCCTTGAGGAAAGCAGTCTCATATTATTTTTGGCATCAGTTTAGATTGTTCTTTATTAAAATGGCAACTCCTTTTCATACACATTATTCTTCCTACTGGAGTATATCAATTTTTCTCTTGGGAAATAAATGCTTCCCTTGCCTAGCCATTGTTTCTGAAAAGTCTGTGATATCCCATTTCATTATGTTCTTAAAGGATTCTTGGAATATTTTTAATTTTTTTCTGTCATTAGAATGTTTGTTGTGATGTTGAAAATTTAAATTCTCAGCATCATATGCTAGGACTTTCAAATTTAGTACAGTAGAGCCTCGAAAACTCTGCACTCGATAACCCGGCACTCCAGATAACTCGGCCACACCCTGGCAGGGCAAAAAGATCCTTAGTTAATTAATTTTCATGATAAAGACAGCTTTATGCCTCATAAAGTATTTTTCTGAGGTCTGTCTTATCAGGTAAATTACTGTACACAGTGTATTCATTAATTTTCATTTTCATGTAGTAAAGGCTCTATGCCTTCATAAAAGACGTACTTTTCCTTTATTTAAGGGTATTTGGGCAGTTTATTCTCTGTTGTATTCTCAAGTAAACAATACATACAAGTACAGTACAGTATTTTCTGAGGAAACACTCATACTTATTTTTTTTTTTTAACCCCATTCCCGATAACCCGGCATTTTCACAAACTCAGCCACCATTCGGTCCACATTAGGCCGAGTTTTCGAGGCTCTACTGTATTTGAATCCTGTGGTTTTCTAAAATTATTCAGTCAGACATTAAAAGTTTAAAATTTCTACAATAACTACAGTGTTTTGTGATTGTCCAGATTTTAGCAAAAATTCTTTTAATAATAATTAGCATTTCAATTTTTATTTTTGAAATATGATAATTGCTTTATCTTTCTAAACTCTTAGTTTTAGACTTAAGTAACTTGAAGTAAACTAGCATAATATGTTTGATAATAAATATTGTTGAAATTATAAATGTTTAGGTCATTACAAGTGAAGAAGCAGAAAGGAGGGGACAAATTTATGATTCCGAGGGTCGTACTTATTTATTTGACTTGGATTATAATGCCGACGATTGTCCGTTTACCGTGGATGCCGCATTTTACGGAAACGTATCGCATTTCATGAATCACTCAGTACGTTTTTTAATATATTACTTGATTGTATTTTATGTATATCTAATTTTAAAACTTTAAACCTAAAATAAAATGTGTATTGAGCACATAGTTTGTAGATTAACAGATTAGTACAGAAGTGTTTTTTGAGTTCTCGGTACAATGAGAATGGAAATTTTTAACAATTCTTAATGAAATAGCCATCATTTCATTTTAGGCGTAAATTTATTTAAGAGATGATCCAAACTTAAGAAATCATTATTAAATATTTTCAGTTTTCTTTAATTTTATTTTGACAAGCTAACAACTATACATTGTTAACACTCTTTCTGCCCGGTGGACACTAAGAGAACCTTTTAAATTGTACCTGTACAAGGTTCAGCTGGGTAATAAATGATCAAGACCTATGTATTTGGATGGATTTCAGTCAGATTCAGCATTCAATTTGTACAAAATGTGAATGCAAGTGAAACATAGCATTTATTAGTTAATGTTACAATATCATACATCATCTACAGGTTACATTTAAATGTGTTTTATACGGAAGAAAACCTTTCAAACAGCCGTAGTCCATAAACTGCATACGTGCCGGGCTTTGATTGACTCATGTATTTAAAGACTCATAAAAAATGAATTTCATAAAGAACGGAACATATCTACTGTGCTATAGAGGGATCGACTGTATAATAATCTTTAGACACATATGATCATCTTTAAAAATACCTTTTAAAATATACCTTTTAAAGATACCTTTTAAAAATATAAATCCTGCATCTTCACAAAATTCCGACACCGATCTTCCGCTATTATTTATCAATGTATTTTGTGATAACCTCGACATCCTCATTACATTCATAAATCCATTCCTGTATCTCCACACCAACGTGAGCATCAAAATCACCAATCAAAAAATCTATCTTATAACAGCAAATCACCCTAACTATTTGTCCAAATGGTATTCCATAGAATAGGTCTTATATACATAAAACAAAGAGAATTGCCCTAGATGCCCTATTGTTAATTCCATAATGATCCAATGCTTGTCTTTTTCTAAAATATTCACTTTCAATAGCATCCAGCCACCAATAAAACGACTTCTATCAGTCTCTCGATAACCTGCTTCTTGAAAAACAGAGAAGTTATCTGTGTTATGAAAACTGGAAATTGCAGTCCTACCATCCCACCACGTCTCCATTAAGAAAATTATATCAAAAGTACACAAAAAATTTCAAAAAGAATTAGATTTATTTACACAATACCTTCACAATTCTATGAAAGTACTGATATATCTACTCCCAGAAAGTTGAAATTTGCTCTTCCATTTTCTTAGAAACTAGATTATATTTATGAATTTTGTTATCAACTTTCACTGCATTCCAATTATTTAAATAAGTAATTGAAGCTCCCATCATCATTTTTCTCTAGTGAAATTATTTATTTTCCTTATATCTCTAGTTAGAGGAGGAAGGTCATTCATTATAAATATTTTGAACCCCTTTAATTTAAATACTACTCTTAATTTTATATTTATTGGCATAATCCAAAAAACTACAATAAATCAACCTAATTCTACCATTCTGTTGTTGACCCAATCTATGACACAACTCTAAACTGATATGATGATTGGCACTTAATTTATTTTGAAGAAACTCTAATACTATAACCTGCAAGTTATCATATTCCAACTCGGGGAGTCCAGAAATTATTAAATTGTCGTGCGTTAAAAAAATACTCAAACTGCTCCTGACTTAATGTAAACTCAACCAATTTATTTTCCAGGTCTATTTCTTCAACCGATGAAACCTTACCTGTATCGTATGTAAATATTTTCTCAGTCCTCAAGTCTAATTTCTAAGTTAATAATAGCTTTGTCCAAATTTTCTCCCCGTGTGAAAATTCTATCGATTTTAGCAATCATTCATTTCACTTTAGTAATCTGCTTTAGATTTAGTTGAATTAATAACGATATCCCATCCTTAATATCCAGTTCTCCCTTAAGTAATTCCAAAATCTTCATCTCCTTCAATGGGTCTGTGTGAAAAATCTTAGATCTACTATCTGACAGACTTACTGGTGAATAGGTCTTCCTTTCAGACATGATGAATAATACCGATAATCTTACCTGAAAAATTAAATAAATTATTAATTATAATACACCCAAAAGCACTGCCCCTTGAAGATTATTTGAAAAAGTAGAAAATAGATTTTGGTGGCAAAAAAATAAAACAGGAGCCAAATTTGGCATCACTGTATTCATCCCAATAAGCAAACTGGTGCGTGTTTGCACAGACAGCATCTGTTTAAAGAGGAGGCATCCTTAAACCCCTATTTTCTGAGTACAGTAGAATGGTGTGCTAACCAGTAGTTTGAATTTCTCTACAATTGGAGATTGCCTTTCTGACTTAAATAATAAAATTGTTATTGGAAAGAGTGTTATTTTGTAGGTTGTGAAAGTAATTTACAGTTCAGTTCAACAAATTCTAGTAAAAGTTATGTTTTATCGCATGAAAATTATCATCACGACAACAGGGCAACTGCAAAATTTGCTTTATCGGTATTCATTTTAAGGCAAGTGGATTGTAATAATAATTAGTTTACATTATATTATATTATATATATATATATATATGAGTAAATTATAATAATTTTTATTTTTTTTGTTAGTGTGACCCTAACTTAGCAGTGTATGGTGTCTGGATAAATAATTTGGATCCAAGATTGCCTCATATAGCATTTTTTTCTCAGAGAGACATAAAAAAGGGAGAAGAATTAACTTTTGATTATCTTATGACAAGTAAGTATCATCATTTAATGCAAACTGAAGATTTAGTTTTTAGACATTTCTTAGAATTAATGTTTAAACTGATGTTAATGCTACAAGCTTTTGTGCTGCTCATAGAGATGTTGGAAAACTTATTTATTACCATTAATTTTTGTCACCAATTGAAAGATATATAAGATATTAAAAATATTTAAAGAACATTTTACAGCATTAAGCCTACAACACCATTTGTCACTTTAGATAGAACATCAAAAGAAATGTAAAGTATAATAGATCAGGATGATGATAAAATAATATCATTTGAAAGAAATAATGAAAAAGGAAAATAAGAGAACATTTTGCTGCTATTAAAATTATCATCTCTCATTTATAAATTTCTGTCTCTTATAAAATGAGAGATTTTATGAGAGATACAAATGTAAATACGGGTATAAGATTGTAGATGGCACAGACACGAGAACTTGAATGTCGTGGAGAAATTTTCTAAAGCAGCAGTTGTAAGTTTTTTTATAAAAATATTATAAGTGAAAAGGATAACTACAAATTTTTATCAAAATTTATATATATTTAATATAATTTTATTCTTAATAGATTTAATTAAAAATATTCTTTTTGGTTTGTCAGCCTAAGAGACGAATTAGGACAATAAGGGACAAATCGGCTTGTTCCAACATTATTTTTATTTAGCTGTCCTCAAATTACCTCTTTAGTTTGTCTTGTTACCCATACACTTTAGTGCTGTTATGTGTTGGTACTTGCATTTTTTGTCACCGTATGTCTTTGATAAAAGTTGGTTTTATTGTCTCTGACATGCTGGAATACAGATTTCAGAAATGGTAAATATTGTTTACCTTCAATTAATCTGTACACTTAATAAAACTCTTACTATACATTGTTACATTTTGTAGTATGTCACTTTTTTTATGCACGAAAGAAATTCTTTGATGTTATTAGCTGATAAAAATTGTTCTGCTAACAGACAACAGAGTTTGTATCTGTCTGTAAGTTAGGATTGTCCCATTTGAAATTATGATGATTTCAGCTCTTCTTGAATGCTTATAAATTTCAAAATTTGTGATAACCAAAATATATAACTTAGAAACAAATTGTTTTTAAACACACACAAATTACAAACAGGTGTGTACATATGTGATTGATGAAAATTGTCAGCTTCACCCTTTTGCTATCACAAATATATTCTGTAAAATCGTATTGCAACTCATTTGCTCTATTGTCCCAAATCCAAAATGTAAACTTTCAAGCATATAGATATAGAACATTTAGATTCTTGCACAGAGCTGCAGATGTACAGTTTATATATAGTTTTAGAAATGTACCAAATTTTGCCTGACAGTGTATGTCCAAATTCAAAATTGCTATATTTAACTAGGGATGGAAAATGGCATTGATAAAATTCATTCAGTGTTATCTGTTAATATTGAATAAATTAAAAAATTAAAGTATGCCCTAAAAAGCATTACAGGTGAATTATTTTATAAAGTAATTAATATCTTATTTTGTAATATTAAAATCGGGAATTTATTTGTACAAGAAGCTAAATGAAGAAAATATATTTTAGGGACCATAGCATACTTATAACTTATGTCATGTGTTGGCTGTGGGAAAACTGTGATTGAATCAAAGTGAGCAATTCTGGGAATTTTTCATGTATGGTCTGTCTTTGATGCAAAACTTCCATCACTGTCAGGTTACCTCCTTTGAGTATGGAGGAAAACAGCTAACTACTCTTACAAGGAGAGATTACATCCTCGGGAATTTCTACAAAACTGTCTTGGTATGAACCGTTATTGAGCAAACGGTAAAAAGTGTACTTCAATTTTCTTGAAAGCATTCAAGAAGTATGCTTTCTCCTTTTTGCTCAATAAAGGTTTATACCAGGGCTTATCCACACACAGTTTTTATTGAAATTCCCAAAGACCATGTAGCAGCCTCCAAAAATGAAGAAAGATGTCTATTGACCAAGTGGTTCCCTCTTCCAGACACATTGAAGCTGTTTATTTTCAATAATTCTTCCTTTTTTCATTTTGACAGAAAAAGAACAAAGTGTTTTATTATAATCACACAACACAAACTTCTAGAAGTCTTTTTTTTTCTAATAATATAGGGTGTCTGAGAAAAAGCAAAGGAATTATCAAAATATATTTTGTGGTAGAAGAAAGCAAAGTTTTTTTAGTACAAAAAAGTAATAGAGTTAAAGTTGTTTTGTCTACATTCAGTGAATCTCAACATGTGCTTTAGTTACACAAAAAAATGTCCAATTGTTATCTAATGTGTTGCCAAGTGTTGTTTAGCATTTTCTGTGTAACATTGGAGATTGCAAGGGTTATCCTTTCTTAACAATAAACAGAACATCACATCGCGTAACCCCACAAAAAGACATCCAGTGGGGTTATGTTGGGCAATCCAGGGAATGAGGGTTTTGGTCCCCACAGCCAATCCATCATCCAGGAAACACTGTATCAAGCAAATTATTTAAGGAAAGTGTCCAGTGAGGTCATGCATTGTCCTGTTGAAACAATACCTGGCAGGAAATCAATTATTGATTGAACATTCTTCATGCAAATAAAGGAGCACATGTTGAAGTTCACTGAATGTACTGTATGGTACATAAAACAACTTTGGCTTTCATCTTAATTTTTGTAATAAAATAACTTTTCGAGCTAATCTTTCTTTTACCATAAACTGCATTCCAATAGACCTACATTGTTTCTCTAATGAAATTTTAGAATGAAGTGATCTTTTCAGACACCCTGTATAATCAATACAGCACATAAATCATGTATAATGACATCATAAATATAATTAAAAACACTTTACAGAAAAAGAATTCTGTCTTAGCACGATATGTTTATTGTAATCTACATAACTTTTAGTACCATATTTTACATCATATAAGATACATCCTCATTTCAGCACAACATTTAGGCCATTCCATGCCTTTTACAGTAAAAAATTTTGGGACCATTCTGGTGTAAAAAATAAATAAATAAAATTAGAATACACACTCCATTTTTTTCCCCTGCTAAATAAGTTGTTAAAAGAAAATAATTTACAATTAAATATTTTAATTAGTTAAGCAGCCTGTATTAGTTTTTTCTTGCTATAGTTAAAATATCCAGTAACCATGAACACTGATCAACCTACTGGAGATCACAACTTCATGCACAAGATGCAACATTTGTGTATCTTATATGCCATAAAATGTAGTAATTAATTGTTTTTTTTATGTAATTATTTAGTAACTTTTGAGTTTTCTATCTTTTTTTCTCCTTGTTAGACTCTACAAGTGCAATAACTTCCTCTCCAACTAAGATGTCTATGCCATCTCCAGCAACCGAACAGGGAACCGAAAGTGCAGTCTCTGATGAATCGTCATCTACCGTCAGAAATGAGAACGGACTCTCGCCCTCCGAGTCTAACGAGACCATTTTTGTGCCGTTCGATGCGGATGGCGACGATCTGTCGCCGTCCAGCAAATCAGAATCACGTGTGGTTCCGTCGTCATCGTCACCATCGCCGTCGCCATCCGCGGAGGGTTGTAATTCTCCGACGACAAATTTCCTCCCACTTCTTTCCCCGAGTAAAGTTTCACAGGTACAGGCTAGAAAAAGAATAGTGTGCAAGTGCGGTGCCAAAAACTGTCGTGGCTACCTGTTTTAGAATTTGCATCAAAAAAAAAAAAATCACTTTTAATAATTTATTTTTAAAAACATATATAGTGGATGAATATTTTATAATCTTTTCCTTTTGTATTTAACATCAACAATGTTAGAACAGGGAAAGATTTTAAATTTGTTAAAAATATGGATATGAATGACCTTGTAAAAAGAAAAATTCAATAAATCAAGTATCATTCAGGCGTGTATCCACGTTTTAATTGTCGATTACAACAAATCTGAATACATTTGCATTTCACGAGAGCATTCGATTTTTTAAGATCTTTTGAAGAAAGAAGCAAATCAAATTTGAATACATACTTTGAGTTAAATGCCAAGAAAAAGTTGTTTCCAGAGAACGAAAACATACCTAAAAAGAATTTAAGTATTAAAAGAATTTATTTAGAAAGATCTGGGTTACGTTGTGTATACACATTTTCACTGTATTATATATTTTTTTATTGTATGTTTATTGTTTACAAAGTTTATTAAATGTGTCATTCATATATTATTTGTGGAAAACCAAACCGCCTTTTGGCAAAGTGGAAACATCTTCCACCATACAATTTCCTTACATATTGGTATACATTGCAAATGTACCAATACCATTACACAATTTTTAAACATTCGTACAATTTGTTTCGAATATTTTTTCATATTTAAGATATTTATTAAATGCACACTTATATAAACACCCAATTCCTAAAATTTACACACGTGTATATGTTGATTGTAGACACAAGAAATTTAGCACGATGATGTAATTAATGCCATTGATGGCTATATAGAGAGTTGATTAATAAAAATTTAATCAATTTAATTCAGCAATCAAAAATTATCTATCAATGAAAATCATTTTCATTCTACTTTAAAAATTGTTACAGTATTCAAGCCCAATATACAGGATTCACAAAGTCTTTCACAATAGCCTAACAATTGTAAAAATAAAAATAAAAAAAACTGAAGAACAATAACGTAACTCGAGAGGATTCTGTATAGTATTAGTTTGAGTACGCGCAAACTAACATTTCCACACTCATAAATGCGTAATTATATTGAATTACCAGTTGTAATTCAAAAATGAATACCAGGATTTAGAAAGTTTTTGTAAGTTTTTTAATACTGACACACAAAAAAAAAAGCTTACTAATTTGACATTTGGTTTTTGATTATTAAACTTGTTACAAAAGGATTTAATGATATATACGTGAGAGTTATTTAAAAATCCTCCTGCTGCACTCAAAGAAAATGTGAAATAAGACAAAGATGCAAGATTTGACAAGAGCTATTTACAGATACATTTAATGTTAAAAACATTATGGAACAAAAAGAAAGAAGAAACTTAAAATAGGAAGTTAATAACCAAATAAAGAACAAAAGGAAACTAGATAATGAAGAAGAAATGTAAAATGTGTCTTTGTACATAAAATTTTTTAGAAATAAATAGTTTTCATCAACAAGCAGTTTTTGTTAAAATACCATTTGCATTTAATAGTAAATTACATAAATAAAAAAAAACCTAATTATACAAACATTTTTGTTATGAAAAAATATGATTTACTTACTTATATATTTTTCATCTATAAATCTGATTATGATTTCATTTGCAGGAAAATCATGAAAATTTTTGCATAATTTCATTATTTTTTGAGGATATTCTAATGTATGATTCTATTTGCCAATAAATTTGGCTTGGTTTTCCCACAATTTATTTCATTGTCATTCTTTAGATAATAGATTTTGTTACATTACATTGTATTAAAAGATAAAAATAATTTGTCTTTGTCTTTGTCTTCAGTTAGCTGTTTATAGAAATAAATGTCAATGTATGTAACTTTGCAATTTGTACAAAGCAGATTATAATAAAATGTTAATAATTTGTATTATAAAAATTTTGTTTCTCTAACATAAGATCACAATTAAGATCTTAATTCCAAAATCTGAATTACTTATAAAAAAAAAAAAGCAATCATCATCTGCCATAAAGATGTAATAATAATAGTCCTTCAAGATATTGTATTTGCGCTAACAATTTTCTTAACATCAGTGGTTTTCAACTCCTAGATTATTGCAATGTTCTGTGGTGCTGTAACAAAGCCGAAAATTTCCAATTGAGGTGGCAGCCTACCACTCTGGGGACTTACTGAATTTGATCCCAAGAATTCTTTGGTGGTGGTTTGTTCCGATACGACGGCCCCGTCCCTTGCCACTCACCACCCCATTGCGGGCCTGGACAAACCCATAGAGAGTTTTGGAAACAATCTGTATGTTTTAAACAAAGAAACTAACTGTACTCATATCAGAAACATTGGAAGGCAGTAATTCTTTCAGTTAATGTTAAACTGCTAGTGTATATAAAATAAATTTTTAACAATATGACACAAAAGTGCAAGCATTGTTGACAAGAAACACTTCTATCATCTTCAAGCGTAGATCTTTGAAATCAGAATGGTTTCTCTAGACTTAAGTGGCTAAATTTGAACAGAATTACAGTGGTACCTCAGGATATGAAATTAATCCGTTCCGAAACTGAGATCGTATCATGAAAATGTCGTAAGGTGGATCATCTTTTCCCATACGATTACATGTAAAACCAAATAATTCGTTCCAACGCGAAAAACATACTCAAATTAAAGCCAAGTAATACATTAAAAAAATAACTGTAGTAAGAAAAACAAATGAAAAATGCGAACTAATGTAACGTCATATGATGAGTTTTTGTTCGTATCGTGGAGCAAAAATATGTTCGAATTTCATGTCGTATCCTGAAAATTTCGTATGCTGGGGCGTTCGTAACCTGAGGTACCACTGTATATTCAAATGTAAAATAATTTGAAATTTAAATTCAAACAAGCAGTGGTTGTGTTTGAAAAATATAGAAACATGAAAATTAGATACAAAATATTCACAGAAACTAAACATAATCAAATAAAAATTAGCCATAGCAACAGTTTAAAGTTAAACCAAATGAACTTCTTATAATAGGTATGGTTTTAATATACAGAACACCATAAAGGATTTAATGGAGTAATTGATGGATGTTCTGAATGCCCAGGGTTGGACTGTTAATACATGGGTGTGATGTTAATTAATAATTATTTTCATATGAACAATAACTTCTCATTTCTACATTGTTGGAGGAGCTGTGTGTCAGCAGCCCAAATAAATGTCAAATGTGATGTCAAAACCAGTTTAGATAATTCTGTGGTCTGGTTACTCAGCCTTCCATCTTTCTTATGTTCATTGAGATGTCATTTTAAGATTCTGGCTTTAGTGCCAATGTAATGTGTAACAACAACCATTTGCCCATGTTTAGAACAGAGCCTCGTCTTTGCTTCTGGGTATTTCGTAAGTAATTATTATACAGCAACCACTTCCTTTCAGCCTGCCTTGTACAAAAACACGGCAAATTCTGCTTTAGTATATAGAATATATTATACATTTCCTTCCCTAACAGACATCAACAGAATTGGAATAGGTTGCTACTGCTGTTGCTGATGCTATCATGCTAAATTTAATTTCTTAACCATCAGATTTTATGTGCTCTGTTTCCAATTTTATGGGTGATAAAAAGCTAAGGGATGTTATCAGTCGTTCTATCCCATACCTAGATGAGCTTTCACTAGTACATTCAAAGCTATTCAATTCCTATAATATAACTATCCAATTACACCGAACTCATTTTCTTTGGATTACTCAGTAATGATAGGGACCCAATGACCGGAAGAAATTGGGTATCTCTCAAAAACACCCAAACAAATGTTATCGTATACCTTTGTGTGATATATTTAAAATAAATTTTTAACAGTTTTAAGTTAACATTGAGAGATAGAGTAATTCTTTCAATTCAGTTTTAAAATATTTGTGTGCAAAGAATTTTGTATGATTTTTTATATCGCACGAAAACATGCAATAAGTGACGACAAACTGACCTTTTGTGTTTCCTGCAGTGACAGCATTGTAAACGAAAATGCAAATGTTTTTGGCCAGGTTCGGAGGCTAGCATTAGGTTTTTATAGAAAACATTCTTCTTTTCTAGACAAACTTTTGGAATTTGGAACATTTGTTAAAAACAAATATAAACAAAAACTACACGCTTTTGTTTATTTCTCAACATAATCGGCATAAATGTTGAGACATTTATCCTGGCACGACACTACTTTAAACGTCCCTTCGCAGTACTATTGTTTGTCGAGTTGCTCGAAGTAGTCTAGAGTGATGTCGTCCAATTCCTCCTGATCTGCAAAGCATTTCCGCAACAAAAATTTCTTTAAAGGTCCAAATAAATGAAAATTCGACAGGGGGGGCTAAATTTGGACTATATGGAAGATGTTGCAGGACCTCCCAATTCTGCTACACCAACTACAGTTTGGTCTGACTTGACATGTGGTATATAGTTCCTCAGATTTTCATTTATTTGGACCTTTAAAGAAATTTTTGGCAGGGAAACACTTTGTGGATCGGGAGAAATTAGAAGACACCATTCTGGACTACTTCGAGCAACTCGACAAGCAATGCTACCGCAAAGGGACGTTTAAAGTAATGTCGCACTGGGATAAATGTCTCGACGTTCACAGCAACTATGTTGAGAAATAAACAAAAGTATGAAGTTTTTGTGGAATGTATTAAATATTTTCTTTGATTATAAATGTCAGTGTAATTTTGGCCTGTACTTTTAATATTGGATTCCCCATGTATATAGATTACTTTTGTTAGAAGAATTTAAAATAAGCAAGAATGTGCTAAAATAAACAAATTACTTTAATTCTTTATAGAATTAGCATGAGCATGCAGTATGCATATAGCTAACTAAAATGTTAAAAGATAATAGAGTCAATCTCTGTAAAACAAGTCATATTTATATATTTATGAAGCATTCAATAGTACTAATCGTGGCACTCGGTCTGCCATCGTGCAACCCCAGCCTGGTATATATACATAAACATCTCTCAAGCCTGATAAATTTGTATTATGCCAAACAACTACTGGATATAAATTGTTCAATAATTAAATAAATAAATCATTCCATGGTTTATGTCTTATACAATAGGACTCATCATTTGCAGTTTTGGGTTTACACTAACTTATTAGCAACAAGCACTTATTTATTGCGACATCATCACAATGCTGGGCTGCAATTTTTAATTTAATTTAAAATATATGCTCTCCACCTCAAATTAGTAGTGGCTTACATCATACTTTTCCTTTAACAATAGAGTCATGCCAATCGTTATCTAACCTTTCGAGGGAGAATTTTTGAATTGAAATAATGACTTTCGGTTTGCATCGGAAGTTCATCTATAGTTAATTGAGGCCTCTTATCCCCAAGGCTTCCATATCTGGTCTCATCTTTCATCTAACTCCATTCCCAAGATTAAAGAAGTCACAGAATTTATAGGTCTACAATTTTTTCGAATTGTGGCCCGATAAAAAAAAATTCTTAACCGTACACTAAATTTGCACCTCTTTTAAAGGTTCGTGAAGTCTCAGAGCATCTCACTCATTCTTGTTATGGGAAAGTATTACTGTCTCATTTCTTTCTTTGGATCTCTTGTCAGACCTTTGTCTGGAATTCTCACTTGTAAAACATGTCATGTCGGTACTTCTGTTAGTTTTATTTAGGCTAATTATTTATTAAACATGGCTCCAAAATTCAAGGATAGTGATGCTGGTAGCTCATAAGCCTAAGAAAAGCTGTGAAGTGACTATTTTAGAAAAAAAATTTGCTTCTGAAAATTTTTCAAATTTGTTTTTGATTTACAATATCACGATATTTATTGTTAAGCACTACCTTGCACTGAGCTCAATAATTTTTATTAAAATTATTAATCTTAGCATAGCTTGCATCACAAATAAAAGAAATATTAATTATATGGAATGGAATATTTTATTGAATTTGTATGTTAAAGTTAGCTGTTCAGTTATCTATTTTATAAAATATTTCAGATAATTATCAAGTTTATATTTTCTATCTGGGTCATCTGTGTCGCTGATGGCATGCTTAGACTTAACAAAAGTAGATAGGCTACCACAAAAAACACAGAAGCCCAAGATCATTATGAAGGAGCTGACATATCAGTATGACAGTTCCTACTTGCATGTCATTGCAAACCAGTGATACACATGACAATGCTCGATAAAAATAAGGTAAGGCTGAATAAGAACAAGTATTAAATTTTATTCTTCTTTACCTTACAGCTATTCATGTAGCTTAGTATTTGAGTTTGATGTGTCTATACCCTGTTTCATTCAGTTTGTGACTTTTTTTGCTCCGTTTACTTTTAAACTTGTATAGGGATAGCATTCATTAAGTGGTACATGCCAGCCCTTGTGGTTACATCCCCGTAAATGCAGTATTAAATGTCGTCATGGTTGTAAACTCAAGCTGCCAATTTAACTATAAGATATTCACAAAATTTTTATATATTACCTAAACCTTATTCTTAAATTATCAATAACTTTGTACCTTCTATTGTTTTGTAATTCAATAGACGAACCTTATCTTTCCTGAGAGAAGGCCTTTGTAATATAGTTCTGTTTTATACTTGTAGTAAACTATCATTATTACGTTAAATGACCTTATGATAAAGAAACTTATCAAATTTATTCATACCAAGTTATATGATCATATGACAGCTAATACATTAAATGTATGTTATTTTGCAAATATTTCCTTTATTGTAGATCCTTGTTTATAAACTAAAAGTTTTGTAGTAGATTAAATTATTAAGTATGGTTATGAAATGTTAGTGATAATACGTATATATTTCAATCATTCCATAATGTATTTTCTTAATCTAAATTTTAAAACATAATGAATAAAATACACAAAAATAAAACTGCTTATAAAA